TAAGTGATTAAGAGTGAAGATCTTTGTTGATTTAGCCATGTAAATCTGTCCGTCGGTATATTCGTGAACTAGTCCMTCAGGCTTCGAGATACCCATATGAAATTTTACACGCATCCATTTCTCAACAGGAAGCTGCTCATTTGTCGGAACCATCGATATCGAACTAATATAGGAAATATCTGCTATACACACTGAATGAACGGCACCTAGTTCTTGTGTGCAAAACTTTGTTAATTTACAGAATTTAGATATATTCACAAAATTTCGTAGGCATTATTTGACAAGGCAATTGCGCAATATTTAAACAAATTGCCCAGATCAGACGACTTCTGTATGAAAACTTTCTGAATGCTATTGTAGCTTCGGTGCAAGTGAATAAGTGAATATAAAGTTCTTCCTTGTTTCATTTCTGTTTATATGTATATATACAATTCAAATGAACTACGTTTGTTTTTAATTTTCCAAACTTCAATTCATACACTTTAGTTGGCTATAAGTTTGTGTATCTTAAAATAAACTAGAAAGGTAATGTGTAACAAAAGTTTCATTGCTTGTTTTATATAAAATGCCCATTTTTTTACAATTTTGAATTCCTGTGTGAAAATGCGTTAACGATTTTACTACATTTGCTTTATGTAAATGTCGGTTAAAAATGGTAACCTCTAAACAAATTACGAGCGCATGCCAATTAAATGGCTATACTCAACCGTGGGTGCCGTTATGCGTTAGCGTTGAAAGGATATCATACCCATTCAGATATATATATAAATATCATTATGTGGCTCAAACTCATTTTTTTTATGCATTTCTGTGAATTCCGCTTACCGAATGTTCGACGATTATCAATATGCAGTTATCCTAAGCTGAGCGGGATTATGACACAATGAATTGGTTATGATYGCTTTTGCATGTTTCTGACAAAGTGGATTCTTATCCATCACAACTTTGACAATGCCACATTGACATTTGTTTACACCGTGTACGAGGTGTGTTCAAAAAGTATCGCGAA